TGCATTTGCTGATAAAATTCTATTTATAATTTTTCTAAGAACTTCGCGTATTGATTTGTCAAAAAAAAAGGAGGAAAAGAAATTTTGAAGCTTCTTACGATTATTAAAAATTGAATACCTTCTCGAAATGTTGAGATTGTGAAGCAAAATGTAAAATATTCGGACAATGTGCGATATGAATAAATATATGAGGTACAATATGCATTTCCATCTTATTATGATATAAGTGGGTCTCACTTCGTTTTTTCATATCCGTAAATTGCTCATCGTATGCCAAATTTGGATTTTCGTTCATTTTCAGCCGACAGAAAAAAATTTTAATCATTTACGTTGGCGCTTTTTGCCAATTTCGGTTTCTGTTCAGATTCATTTGTGAAAATTAATTCCTATTCATTTTACGGTTTTTAAATATTGTTTTAAGTATTGTAACGTATTCACTGTGAAACCAATGCTTTCTTACCTTAATAATAGAATTTATACTTTTTTTTCTTAGCTTTCTGGGAACGGAACTCGATTTAAAACACGTAACTTTATCGCTCGACTTTCGTACACGTTTTTAGGAACTCATTGTTTGAAAGTCGGGGACTGCCTGTAGGCTATATATAATACAGCTTTTTAATTATTATGTAAAATATTTTTAATAAACATAGCGGAATTTTTACGTTTACTTTTTGTACGAGATGTATTTTAAATCGGATATCAATTAAATTTGCAGCTTTTATACATTACTGTAGAAAAATACCTACATAAAACAGTTTTACCATTGTTTATGGAAATGTTCGAGGTAAACTTTTATATTAAAATAAAATTTATATCAAAATATATTAAATTTTCTTGGATAAATTCTTATAAAAAAATATCGTAATGCTTTACTATTTTGATATTATCGCACTCTAATCTTTTAAAATGGATGATAAAATGTGTCATTACATTAAAAATTATATTTCATTTATTCGTAAAATGAATGAAATTTAATCAAGAATATTTTATTACATTGTAAGAAAAAATACATCGAATTTTTTGAAATTTACATGAAGTTTAACAGTAAAATTTACAAAGAAAACTTTCCGTTCTTTTGTTATAAGAATGTATTTGCAAAGCCAGTCATTGAATTCGTATATTTGAATTAAATGTATTTGATGAAAAGGCATTTGTTTGTTATTCTCCCTAAGAAATTAAATAGATGTAGTCTCCTACTATTCGTACGAACAGACATTTGAATTGTTCAGGATGGGTCGGATAGTATTGTTATTGGACACGAATTACATTAACATCTTTTACTCTGTAATTGTTTAATCGTTAACCCTTAGAGGCCCTATCGAGGCCTCTTCATCACGTTTCTTTTATTAGTCGCTTCACACTCGACAAAATTTCCCACGAGATTTGCCAAAGAATTTTTCACCGAGATGAAACTCGAAGAATAGCGTCATTTATTTTTGTCAAAAAAAAAAAAATGGCGAGTTCAAGATCCCGAGAGTTGACGGAAATACGACTCGGTTTCATTTTAAATACGTTTTACTTGTTAGAATCATTTTAATTTCGGCAGAGTCGACTGCGCTACATTTACTAGGAGGAGGAATGTAAATAGATGCCAAAATTTTTACTTAATTTTTGTTTGTTTTCTCTGCCTTAGCTTTCTCGAATCGCTCTGGCATATATACGTTTTAAAATTATAAATGATTACAAATAGTTTTAAAATATCAAAACCGATATTCAGTAAAAACATACGCGTTTTATATTTATCTAGAACACGGTGTACGTATATTTTCTCAAGGAAAACGAACGTACTTAAGCTGGACATAATTAGCGATTTTTGTTTTTAAGGTATAGGATCGATTGTTTTTGCAGTTTTTTAATCAATATGACAAGAGCCAAAAGTTATTTTGTAGTCACAATTCACTTGCCAATTTGTAGATGTTATTTCAGGATTGCTTCTTTGCGTGGGTCTAAAATTGTTGCGTCGTTGATTTTCGACGAAACAGTAATCGCTTGTATTATTGAATATAACGTAATCGCTCATATAAAGCGACCGCTATTTTCGCCCATATATTATTATTGTTATTAGTGAATGTAATTTTGATTAAATATTTTCGACATTAAATTAATCGTTAGGCGATTTTATAAAGCTTCGTACGATTTAAAAGTTGATTTATTTTTATCGTAGCGGGTGGAAAGATACGCACGTTTTTGCTAAGCATCTTTTTTTTTTTCTTCTAAAATAAAGAAAAATAAATACGATCGTTGATTTTAATGAATAGATCGTTGGTTCTCGTTTAAGAAAATTGTACTCTTTGTCTTCATTTGACTGATTTTCTAGACGGAAATGAATACGATGCCACACCAATCGATTACTTCTATGTTGAGCGAACAGTCGGTCAACGACCCTCTGCTACACTTTCAAAACGATCGATACGAGTGCTGGCCATTTTAAAATTCAGGGGGGATCAAGTTTAATAATATACATTCATTTCAGTGTTAACTGTGGCATATAATCTATTTGATTAGTTATCTTAAAGTACTTAATATATTGAAGCACAATGTTAGCACAATTTTTATAATTAAGTGTCCGATTATTAAATTCTAATTTATCAAGATTGTACATTATTCTTGTGTTTGAAATATGAAGTTAAATTATAAATAATGATAATTTCTCCAAAATATTATTATTATTATTATTATTATTAAATTTTAAAGTTTAAAAAAAAAACTCAAATGCAATTTTGTTTTATTTCCTATTATTTTTGTTACTAAATATTAACAATAATTATAATTTAATATTCACTGTTAATAATTTTGATATGAACTGAAAATTTAGTGTAGTGCATGCTGTTTTAATGGAATCAATTTTATTAATACCAGCAATGGGGGTAAATTTTATTATTTCTTCAATTTTTCAAATAAGCGAGATGTTGATTCAAAATTAAATTAGAAAAATTGTGCAGTTGATAAACAAAGCTAAAATTTAACATATTACAAATTCCTATAAAAGAGAAGATTTAAAGAATAGATTTTATATAGATTTATCTGTTAGTTTTCTGAATGCATTTCAAATTGTTCCCATTTTATCATATTTCAAATGCAATTTATAATGTATTTTCTCTTCAGCTGTATTGCTACAAGGTAGTATAGTTATTGCTGATGCATAGTTTTAAAAGCAATTTGAAAATAAATCAGTTTTGATAGGTTTTGAAGATTTTAAATTGTATTTATTTTATAAATTATGAGCAAGTCTGTTTATCAATGTTAACAAATTTAATAAAACCAAAACTAAAACTATTACACTAGTAATTGCGATGGTTTTCACATCTATTGTCATCAGGCAAAGAATTCAAAAAATCGGAATGGCTCATTATGGATAGGAATTTATTACAAATTGGTTTGAATAAATAGACCAGATACATTAACATTATACATAATTTAAAAGAAAATTAAAATATAAAAATAGTATAACTGTTAACTGTTATCTGGAGAAAAGTAACTGGAATGCACAAATAATTTACATGTGTAAATGAAAGTAAGTACTACAAGAGGGCTTGAGCTGAGCCCTCTTCTTATAGTACTTATGAAGTTATGTCATTACCTAACTCAAAATACTAACCACAGGGCATGACAAAAGCAAGCTACACCTCAACTAAGCAGCATTTAAACAGATATTCAATGCCCCAGAAGTTCTAATATAAGGCAGTTACATGGCTTATTACTAGTGATACATAACAACTCTAATTTATAGTGGGAGCATTGATGGAGGAATTTTATTTTTGTCCAAATAGGCTCAAATGCAGATGATCAGGCTACCCTAGACAATTTGGTCATATGTTTTGGCCCATTTTGTCTTTCTAATGTTCTTTGATGCAACAAACTAATATTCTTAAGTCTCCCTGATATGATAACTGCAAGTGCTTGCAAGTTTTTAGAATAGGAAATAAAACAGAAAAAAGTTAAAAGAATAAGAATTTATTACCAAACTGTAAATTTATGAATAAACTTTTTGAAAATTAACTAAAAATTCGATTTATGCTTGGATATACAATTTTTTTTTTTTAATTTAAACTGTGCTATTGCTTTTAACTGATTTTGTTGAAGACAATATATTATAATAATGATAAACAACTGCTAAAATTTTGGTTACCAAGCAAACTATTTAATATAGCATGTGAATTAAGCTGAATTCATACTTTATGATCAACTTGTTAGCAATTCATTTAACTCGTTTGGCTTTACAAACATACCCTAAAGGTATGATAATTATAATGGTTTTTACTACAAAATATACTCTTGCTGTTGAACTATCTTCATTGATTTATAGAAACTCAAGAAAACTCTGAATACACGTTTACTTACATTGAAAAATTAATTGAATACATTGAAAGAGTTGTACTCAAGAATATACAGAAATTCTTTATAACAGATTTTTTTAAATGACTTCTTTTTATGCCTGAGTCTTTCATACTTCATATATCTGATGATTACTTTGTCCCTTTTATTTTTATTTTTTTTTTATGATTCCTTAAATAAAAATTTATCTGAAAACAGAAATTAGTGTTACAATGATACTTATAGTAAAATATTATTATGTCTGTCTAATATCAATATAAGTTCCTTTGAAATGAAATTGCATATTGCTTGTTAAGTTCAACTCTTGTACACACTCCTGCGGGAATTGACATTAACAAGAATTTTACTCCATATATTGAAATTAAAATTTTAAATAATTTTATGGTGTGTATATTAGTGAAATAATGTTTTAAACTTTTTGTTTTGAAAATTTGCTAATTTGCTTTAGTTATTGATATATAATTTCCATTTCATCATGATAATTGTAAATATACAATAATAATATACGAACTTTGTATTTATTAACTTCTGATAATTAATAATACTTTCAACAAGTATATTAATCTGTGTGTGAAGTTTTTAATTGTAAAAATTTGACAATATGAAATGTTAGAAAATTAAATGTACTTTAATTATTCAGTGGGATTTTTTTTATCTATTTTCAGTACTTTCTTGTATCTAAAGTTCCTGCTGGTATGGGCCTTGGTACTATTGGCTGATTTTCTATTGGAATTTCGGTTTGAGTACCTTTGGCCCTTTTGGTTATTACTTCGCAGTGTCTACGATTCTTTCAAATACCAAGGGTTGGTAAGTAAGACTTTTTTTTTATAATTAATACAACAAAGTAAAAGAGTGTAATGAGGAATTTTTTTCTCCCCCTCCACTATGTTAACCATTATATTAATATTAGCTAAAATGCCATTGAATTAAAGATAGTTACCTAGTAATATTTTGCACATCCTTCAGTCCTGTTGATGGCCACCACATTACAAGGCATAGATGTGACAAACTTTTGAAGATTTTAGTAATTTAGATCACTAATTTAAAAACTAATAATATTATTTCAGACTAATAAAATCATCATAAAAAATTAAATGCAAAAATATTTCAGTTTACTTCATACAAATTGTTAGTTATCAAATCATTAATGCAAAGTTATTGAATTCATCTTTTTGTTTCAAATTATTTTTAGTTGTACAGATAAATATTTTATCCACATTTAAAAAATATTATACTTTTAAAAGTTTACAATATAGTAAGGCTGTCTTTACTCAAGTGTAAGATGCCATCAAATCTAAAATACATCATAATTTCTAAATACCCATCCATGGATTTTTTCTCTCAGAAAAATAAACAACTTGAAGCAAATTTATATCAACAGAACTGATTCTATTGACATAAATTTATTTGTTCAGTATTTATTGCACATAAAGTAAGCTATACATTACTGTCTTCAGTGGTATTGAAGTTGGAAACCCCCACTTTGTGTTAGGGTCTTCTGAATCAACACTGGATTCAATACTCACATCTTCCCACATGCAGTCATCCTCATTATTGTTTAAAACATTGGAAATGCAACATTTCTTGAAAGAGTGCTGCACAAGTTTTCTGATATTTTCATACATTTAAGTTGATGATACTGTAATAGACTAATGAAACTAAGCTATGTTGATCTCTTAAATAATTGCTATAACAAATATTGATCTAATAAAATCATTAAAATGTTGCATTAAAATAAATCTTATTTCTCTCTCACTAATTAGATTGCAACATTTTAATACACTAATACTAATTATGATGTGTTAAACCAAATCTAAGATTCACTCTATTTTCAAAGATACTAAACCTTGAAAAAGCACATCTTACGTTAGAGTAAATGTGGTATGTTAAAAATAATGATATTTAAGCACCAAGCTACTTGTGCAATGTTTTATTTTGCAAGAAAACATCTGGAACAAATTGTACAAGTTAAGAAATTGCTTTATATACATAAACACACAGATACATATGCATAGAAAAAGTTTGAAAACAGTATATTGTTCTTGAATTATGATATATCAATAACTTTATTTTGAAAAAACAAAAATAAGTTTTCATGGTTTTTTAAAAAATACTGAAAAAAATAGGTTTGATAAATACTCGTGCATTAAAAGTGTTTTTAATTTAAAAAAATAAATTCAATATTCTGTTTATTCTTTATTTTCAAACCTTTACATACATTAATTATATATATATATATATATAAACATCAACTCATGATCCCAATTCATAGTTAAAGCCAGATGACTGATGAATTATTGAGTTATATAACCATATTACAGCTTTATAATTTGACAGTTGTTTTGATGTTTAATATACTATAATTTATCTAAAATTTCAAAACTGAAAATCTAGAATTGTAAAATACCATTAATAAACATTGAAAATCATATATATATATATTGTAATAAATGAACTAATGAGCTTTTATAAAAGAAATTTAATTGTATATCAAAACATGGTTTGATTATTAAATTTATTTTAAATTATATTTAATTTAATTTTAAATTAAACTATTAAATTGTATTAGAATTAATAAACTAACAAATGAATCAAAATTATTATTAAACTCTTCTTTGCTTTCATTGATTATGAAATTTAATTATGTTTTGATATATGTTTGTTTACATAAGTTTTGAAAGATTGGCATAATAATTAGTTTTAGAAATAAAGATCATATATTTTATACATGGTGTGCTCTGTTTCTGTCATTCAGAGAAAAATTATCTTTTGTTTATCGTTACTGTTGTTTTTTTACATAAGACAGAACTCATAAGCAAGGAACAATTTATGAAATTCTAAATAAAAATTTTTTTATTTAAATGTGATTTACAAAATATCTAATTTGATTTAATGAGATTATACATAAATAAACTAATAAAACTACATTAAATTTAAATGAGTTTAATAATCCAAAAAATATTTAAGAACTATTTTTCGCATAGAAAATGCTTAGTTTTTTTACTCGTCCCCTAAAACTGAAATTTGTTCATTCTTTTTATGAAGAAGCAAAGTCATTTGAATTGATACTGTCTTATATTTGCATTTGTAATTTAAATGCAGATACTTGTATTTAATTCTAAAATTTTATTTTTGTCAGCTAAATTATTTTGTTTTTTTTAGATGTAATTACTATTTTGTGCATGCTTAATTTTTTTATATTGTATTGGAATTTTATCATTGTTTATGTAAACTTTATTAATATAAAAGTTTTTGCAAATCATTAATTGAAGCAATAATAGAACTTCAAAATATTTTTAAAAACATTGGAATTATTTTTTCTATGTTTTATAAGGTAACAACAGAATACTATTGCTTTTACAATAATTTGTTAAAAATTTATTATTTCTTCTTATCTCTAGTAGTTTTTGCTGGTTTTCCTGCTTATATCTTGAAAAGAATTTAATAAGCTTGAAAATACAATAAATCTTATATGATGTATTGTTTTCAATATTCTAATATAATGCAAATTGATTTCACCTAACTTCTTAAATATATTTTATCATTCATCCAGTTATCAAATGCAGTAAACATAGCTATTAATGTAATTTTCCTTACTTATATACGTTTATATACTTATTTATTTAAATTGTTTATTATGTTATAGTGAATTTCAAAAGAAGTAGGGAACTCATTAAATTTTTTATCAATTTTTAATTTAATAAAATTTAATAAAATGAAAAATTAAATTATAACTGCATATTTAATTTTTGCACTTCTAACAAAAATTATAATAATTTTAAAAGATATCTTATTGAATCTTTCAGGCATTTTCTGTATTTTTTGTGTTCATTGCATTCACTTCAGACATGATTTGTTTTCTCTTCATCCCGGTTCATTGGCTATTTTTTGCTGCAAGTACATATGTCTGGGTACAATATGTTTGGCACACAGGTAAGATGATACTCTTGTTTTACATAATAATTAAAATTTTTAAAAAGTTTTATTAGGTAGATATAATTTATAAATAAAATAACTATAAAAGTAGTATTAAAACATTTTCTGTCTTTAATTTAAAAAATTAAATTATAACATAAAATTAAAGTTAAAATTGTTATAAATAATGCTTAAAATTTAGTATGAAGCTCAATTTAAATTTTATCAAGCTGCATAATTTTTTTTAAAATTAAAGTTATCAAACTGCCTTAACCAAACTAATTTTAATTAAAGATAATTAACCAAAAACTTTCTGAAAAAAAATATTTTCATAGAATTTATAAATCTTAACTTTTCTCATTGAACAGTTGATACCATTTTTAAAGTCAAATATAACATATTATAAAAAAAAATTTTGTCTCATAATTATTGTACAAGAAGGGCCAGCAAACCAAATGCACCTTGACCTAAAAAACATTTATCTCTGGCAGGGAATCAAATCCTGATTTTCTGTAATTGTTGTTTATAATAGAAATGATTATAACTACATTCAAACTTTTTCATTTTATAAAGCAATTTATAAAATGAATTTATAAAATGAATTTTATAAATTCATTTTATAAAATTCATTCTTAAGTATTCTTAAGTATCCTTTTTTTTTATTACAAAATAAATCTCTTGTGTTAGAAATTTTTTGGCAAAAATATCTGGTTATATACAAGCCTTAAATATACATTAGTTATTTTGATAAATAGTAATTTAATGTATAACTTTTATCATCATTCACATACATTTTGAAATCTTTTACAAAATAATTTTTTAAAATAATAATTAATAATAATAATAATCAGAAACATTTTCGCAATGAATAAAATCATTAAAACAAAATTGTGTTTATAGTATTTTAAGGCAGATTAAATTAAGGTCTTCACAAATGACATTTTTAAGACAAAATTTTAAAAAATATATATTGTATTTATTTTAATAATTTTAATTAAAGCTACTGTATTATGGTAATATGCTCTTCTTATTTGCATCTGCATATTAGATTTCAATATTTAAATATAATATAAATATAAATACAAATTAAGCTAAAGATTTCACTCTTAATGCTTTCTTAGGTGCCCTAAAAAAGAAAGAAAATAATATATCAATTCAAACTAATAGATTAGTATTACAGAAACAATTATATAAAAAAATATCTTCAAAAAATCTGTTTAAGAGTTACTTATTGGCATTACATTTTATCTGTTTTATTTTAGACAGAATTTAAAATATTTCTGGGGAATAGATAACTGAATATTATCTTGTAATCAGTGTACATTTAGGGACTGGAAATATTTTCTCCAATATGAATGTAACCAAAGCACTTATACTTGATGTACAGTTAAATTGATAATGAATATTTGGCAGTCATTTAGCTTTAACTATAAATTAGGTTTGTGAATTATATATATATATATATATAAACAATTATTCTTTTACTATCTGATAAATCTTAACACAACATATTGCATTTTGCAGCATACTTTAGTTAATTTTTTTAAAGCTGGATCATAGCATCAGAAGTAATTGATTTTCTTGAATTTAAATGAATCAAAACTCAAAAATAAAGTTTGATTGTAAGATTAACCTTGAATATGGTGTTGACAAAATTTTTAATGTTTAATACAAATGTTTAGGAAAAAAAAAGATTGACATAGAAGAGAATTGAATTTGTAACTTCTGCAAACAGAGATATGTTACCAAGTTCAGTTTTTAGTCTTTAATTTATAATTTTANGCTTGTATAAATTAAAAATAACAAAAATGATTGAATATATCGGTTTGCTTTTATGATAGTTAAAACTTTTCGTACTTGTAAGAAACCCGATTTTTTTTCTTTTAAAAGTTTTTGAAATTTAAACTAAGATTATTTTAAAAGGAAAATTTAAATTAAACTAAAATTTAAATAAGATATCCACTATTTGGGTAATTCGTAAATTATTTTGTATTATAATTCTCAGTGTGTAAATTATTTGTATGCAGTTTTCTTTCAATACTTCATGCCACTTTTCGTGGAATTTTTTCCTTTAGAATAGATAGCATTTGATACTTTTAAGTTTTTCTTTCCGTGAATAGTATCCGACCCTAAATTTAATGTCTGATAATGTACAGTACAGTACATGCATTTGCTGATAAAATTCTATTTATAATTTTTCTAAGAACTTCGCGTATTGATTTGTCAAAAAAAAAGGAGGAAAAGAAATTTTGAAGCTTCTTACGATTATTAAAAATTGAATACCTTCTCGAAATGTTGAGATTGTGAAGCAAAATGTAAAATATTCGGACAATGTGCGATATGAATAAATATATGAGGTACAATATGCATTTCCATCTTATTATGATATAAGTGGGTCTCACTTCGTTTTTTCATATCCGTAAATTGCTCATCGTATGCCAAATTTGGATTTTCGTTCATTTTCAGCCGACAGAAAAAAATTTTAATCATTTACGTTGGCGCTTTTTGCCAATTTCGGTTTCTGTTCAGATTCATTTGTGAAAATTAATTCCTATTCATTTTACGGTTTTTAAATATTGTTTTAAGTATTGTAACGTATTCACTGTGAAACCAATGCTTTCTTACCTTAATAATAGAATTTATACTTTTTTTTCTTAGCTTTCTGGGAACGGAACTCGATTTAAAACACGTAACTTTATCGCTCGACTTTCGTACACGTTTTTAGGAACTCATTGTTTGAAAGTCGGGGACTGCCTGTAGGCTATATATAATACAGCTTTTTAATTATTATGTAAAATATTTTTAATAAACATAGCGGAATTTTTACGTTTACTTTTTGTACGAGATGTATTTTAAATCGGATATCAATTAAATTTGCAGCTTTTATACATTACTGTAGAAAAATACCTACATAAAACAGTTTTACCATTGTTTATGGAAATGTTCGAGGTAAACTTTTATATTAAAATAAAATTTATATCAAAGTATATTAAATTTTCTTGGATAAATTCTTATAAAAAAATATCGTAATGCTTTACTATTTTGATATTATCGCACTCTAATCTTTTAAAATGGATGATAAAATGTGTCATTACATTAAAAATTATATTTCATTTATTCGTAAAATGAATGAAATTTAATCAAGAATATTTTATTACATTGTAAGAAAAAATACATCGAATTTTTTGAAATTTACATGAAGTTTAACAGTAAAATTTACAAAGAAAACTTTCCGTTCTTTTGTTATAAGAACGTATTTGCAAAGCCAGTCATTGAATTCGTATATTTGAATTAAATGTATTTGATGAAAAGGCATTTGTTTGTTATTCTCCCTAAGAAATTAAATAGATGTAGTCTCCTACTATTCGTACGAACAGACATTTGAATTGTTCAGGATGGGTCGGATAGTATTGTTATTGGACACGAATTACATTAACATCTTTTACTCTGTAATTGTTTAATCGTTAACCCTTAGAGGCCCTATCGAGGCCTCTTCATCACGTTTCTTTTATTAGTCGCTTCACACTCGACAAAATTTCCCACGAGATTTGCCAAAGAATTTTTCACCGAGATGAAACTCGAAGAATAGCGTCATTTATTTTTGTCAAAAAAAAAAAAATGGCGAGTTCAAGATCCCGAGAGTTGACGGAAATACGACTCGGTTTCATTTTAAATACGTTTTACTTGTTAGAATCATTTTAATTTCGGCAGAGTCGACTGCGCTACATTTACTAGGAGGAGGAATGTAAATAGATGCCAAAATTTTTACTTAATTTTTGTTTGTTTTCTCTGCCTTAGCTTTCTCGAATCGCTCTGGCATATATACGTTTTAAAATTATAAATGATTACAAATAGTTTTAAAATATCAAAACCGATATTCAGTAAAAACATACGCGTTTTATATTTATCTAGAACACGGTGTACGTATATTTTCTCAAGGAAAACGAACGTACTTAAGCTGGACATAATTAGCGATTTTTGTTTTTAAGGTATAGGATCGATTGTTTTTGCAGTTTTTTAATCAATATGACAAGAGCCAAAAGTTATTTTGTAGTCACAATTCACTTGCCAATTTGTAGATGTTATTTCAGGATTGCTTCTTTGCGTGGGTCTAAAATTGTTGCGTCGTTGATTTTCGACGAAACAGTAATCGCTTGTATTATTGAATATAACGTAATCGCTCATATAAAGCGACCGCTATTTTCGCCCATATATTATTATTGTTATTAGTGAATGTAATTTTGATTAAATATTTTCGACATTAAATTAATCGTTAGGCGATTTTATAAAGCTTCGTACGATTTAAAAGTTGATTTATTTTTATCGTAGCGGGTGGAAAGATACGCACGTTTTTGCTAAGCATCTTTTTTTTTTTCTTCTAAAATAAAGAAAAATAAATACGATCGTTGATTTTAATGAATAGATCGTTGGTTCTCGTTTAAGAAAATTGTACTCTTTGTCTTCATTTGACTGATTTTCTAGACGGAAATGAATACGATGCCACACCAATCGATTACTTCTATGTTGAGCGAACAGTCGGTCAACGACCCTCTGCTACACTTTCAAAACGATCGATACGAGTGCTGGCCATTTTAAAATTCAGGGGGGATCAAGTTTAATAATATACATTCATTTCAGTGTTAACTGTGGCATATAATCTATTTGATTAGTTATCTTAAAGTACTTAATATATTGAAGCACAATGTTAGCACAATTTTTATAATTAAGTGTCCGATTATTAAATTCTAATTTATCAAGATTGTACATTATTCTTGTGTTTGAAATATGAAGTTAAATTATAAATAATGATAATTTCTCCAAAATATTATTATTATTATTATTATTATTAAATTTTAAAGTTTAAAAAAAAAACTCAAATGCAATTTTGTTTTATTTCCTATTATTTTTGTTACTAAATATTAACAATAATTATAATTTAATATTCACTGTTAATAATTTTGATATGAACTGAAAATTTAGTGTAGTGCATGCTGTTTTAATGGAATCAATTTTATTAA